ATTATTGTTGTAATGTTTCATGCGTGCAATATTTCGTCTTTTATTTTGAAGTCCAAGCTCACGTCTCGTTATGCTGTTCTCGCGTGAGTTAGAGAGCGAGAACATGAGAAGCACCCTCAGAGTAAGATGCACGGATACTTAAAGCTCCGTTAGTTTTGTATTCTTATACATATATAAGTTGTGAAGAGAACTGAAGAATACTTCCCTCTGTATACAGAGCATGCAGCCCAACGAGGTATGTTGTTGTGTTTGTATTACTTTTATGTTATTACCTTGCTAGTTATCTCACATGCTGTGCATGTTATTGTGTGTCTAACAGGAAACTATGTTTGTCATTTATACTGTTTTGTTTGTGTAGTTTTCACGGTGGATTCGGAGGAATAAACCCGTTATGAGAAAGCCACTTGTGTCTGCCTGTGCTTCGAGGGAATTACAGGCCCGGACAGAAAAGGCTGCGAGGGGCCCTCCACACGCTGCATCTCACACCGGCTCTCATCCTGTCTGTTTCGGAGAAGGCTCGTAAACTGGACATTGAGGCGCGTTCACGCTCAAACCCGCTGAGGGAATGAGCGGAGGTGTGTGCAGTGCTATTCACACTGTGCGTAATAACAGCCCTAGGCTCATTACGACCGTGTGTAGTATAGGCACATCTGGGACAGAGAAAAACCGTGCTGCCTATAACCGACAGGTTAGGAGCATCAGGTTTAACCGTCAAGCCCTGCTGTTTAATAACCTACTGGTTAATTACAGCTGGCTTGTGCCGCGAGCCCCGCTGCCGCGCTAACCAACAGGTTACAGCCGGCTCAAACGGCGAGCCCCGCTGTCTGTTAACCTACAGGTAACAAACAGCTGGCTTATGCACCTCCACACGCTGTATTACACAGCGGCTCTCCTCATGTCGCGGTTTAGGAGAAAACTCGTAAAACGGACATTGAGGTTCACGCTCAAACCCGCTTGAGGAATGAGCGGAGGTGTGTGTAGGAGGCACATCTGTAACATAGGAAACAAACCCGGGCTGTCTAATTAACTGACAGGTTTTAAAGACAGCTGGTTTGAGCCGTAAGCTTTGCTGCCTAACAACCGACAGGTTGTTGAGGCAGCCGTTTATGCAGCTTTTTTTATGTCATCCGGAGGACAGCTCTCCTGAACCGGGGGAACGGGGAGATCTCATTAGGCGGCTGCCTTTCCGATGATCTCCGGGAGTTCCTGGAGAATGCCGCCTATCGACGGCAGAGCCGTGATGGCGGACAGAGGGACCCGGCGTCAGTCCGGCAGCCGAACCTACTTGTTCGGGCTAACACCGGGCCCCCGCCCCGTCTCCCCCGCCGGAGGAGAGGGAGACAGGGCGTGGGAACCACATGGTGATCCGTGAATGGAGGGGAAGGAGTCGCCTGACTGCTGCCCGCCACTCGGATCCAATAAATAAAGGGCTTGGTCTACAGAGTAAAAACTCCTGGACTAGCCAATCATCCTCGGCCGCAGCAGCGAGAGCGTCCGCTCTCCACAGCCTGTGGGCCAGAGGGAGACGGACACAATGAGTGCACGACACCTGGGGAGTGAGAGCCGCGTTTGCGTGCTCTAATCCCCGGCAAAACTCACACGTGAGCTCCGGTCGTAACTCATATGTCGGGTTGACACTGGGCCCCCCACCTTGTTTCCCCCGTCCAGAGGAGAGGGAGGATGGGCCCAGGGGAACCAGGAATGTTTGCTCTTTTAGTAAGTAGCTCTTAACAGAACTTGTTTTGCCTGTCAATGCTTCTGCAACGGAGTGCTGAAGAAAAGTAGGAGTGGATTGTAGGGCCTACTTCCTATTTATACGGAAGTGAGCCCGGAGGTGGGGCCCACGTCATAGGTGGGCGTGGAATAAGTCTGTCAGTGCTGCACACGTGCAGTGGGATTACCCAATAGCGATAGCCTTAGAGGGCGAAGCCTAATATGATATAGAACAGCTACCTACTGGGAATCTGGTCTTCCGAAGAGGAAAAGAGGAACCTGGAGCACAATCGGCCATTGTTGTTGTGGTCGGTGTCAGCTGTGAGGGGTTTCCCGCGCGGTTTGGCTTTATGAAGCAGGCACGCAAACGGTTACGTCATGGCGCAAACGATGACGCAATGACGGAGCACCAGTCGGACTCTGGGCAGTGTGAAAAGAGCCGGAGCTAAACCGAAGAACCGGTTCTGAACCTGAAAAGCTCTAGCACGGAGCTTGAACCGGAGTTGCGTTGGTGTGAATGAGGTAACAGATGGCAACTCCTCCTCCTCCCTTATTTGGTCTATTTTGGTATCTGAGCTCATATCCATCCAGCTCAAAGTCTATGTCCTTTTCGTTGGTGATCCATGTTTCAGAAATAGCAATTATGTTGAAGTAAATGTATGTAAATATTCTCCATCCATCCATCCATCTTCTCCCGCTTATCCGTGGTCGGGTCGCGGGGGTAGCAGTTCCAGCAGAGAGCCCCAAACTTTCTTTTCCCTGGCGACATCAACCAGCTCTGACTGGGGGATCCCAAGGCGCTCCCAGGCCAGCGAAGAGATATAATCCCTCCACCTGGTCCTAGGTCTACCCCTTGGTCTCTTCCCAGCTGGACGTGCCTGGAACACCTCCCTAGGGAGGCGCCCAGGTGGCATCCTAACTAGGTGCCCGAACCACCTCAACTGGCTCCTTTCGACGCGAAGGAGGAGCGGCTCAACTCCGAATCCCTCCCTGATGACCGAACTTCTCACCTTCTCACTGTAAATATTCTCTGATATTGTTAAAGTTTGCATACAGGCTTCTGCTATTAAAATGGATTGATAATTTGCCATTTGATTCAATATTCTGGTTGTATTGTTCATCAGTGTAGTAGTAGCAGATGCTGTTGTTGACGGATCAGTTTCATGTTCCAAGTCATGTAGCTTGTGATCAGTGTACTCGAATGTTTTTAGTTCAAATCCTTTATCCTCTGAGTTATGTCACTATTGACTTCAGATGTATATGAGCAGGTGTCGTCAGTGTGCGCCATGGCTTTGTGTGCGTGTTACCTCACAGTCCGGTGTATGATGATGATCACTGGTATCTGTCCAAATCCATGACGTTCCTGATGACCAGCACTTTTGCTTCCTCTGGTGTTCCATTTAGTTTAATAAATATTTTACAGTTTGAAGTCTAAGTGTTTTGAATTTTTCTCTGTTTCTTTAGGTAGAGCGCTTTTCTAGCTATGTTAGCGTTGCGCTTAGTTAAATTATCATTCATATAGACATCTGTTATGTTTTCTCTCACTGATTGTGCTGTTATGTTAAATGTTTGTTGTTTGTGTTTCATGTATTGTGTCTGGATACTTGTCTGTTGATGTTGGACATGGAGCTGCTGTGACGCAAGTCACATTTTAGACTTGATCTGACAAATAAAGTATTATATTATCGTTATCGTATCATATCTGATCCTTTCAGCTTTCTTCCCTGTTTTACAATAGCAATGCATACAAAAATACTACATATTCTAGAGTCTAGAGTAGACTAATGGGTGTGGGTGAACTTTGACCTGCAGCATCATTATGAGACCCAACTTTCAATTCAATTAAATTCAAAACCTTTATTTATCCAGGTGAAATCCCATTGAGATCATTGATTTATTTTTCAAGGGAGACCTGCAGCAGTAGGTTCCACACGAAGACATAAAAACATAAACAACAACAGGACATCATACAGCAAAACAGAGAACAATTACAGGGATTACAATTTACATATCTATCCACATGTACAGGTACCAACAGCATCTGATTGTGTAGTGGTACCAGATTGGTAATTTTCCATTCTTTTTGCAGACTGTTCCATGTTAGTGGAGCTGCACATCGAAAAGCTTTCTTCCCTAAGACAGTCCTAGCACTTGGCACATTTAATAAAACCACAGCATGCGATCTCAGGCAATAACTACTTTCAATTCGCCGTGAGATCAGGGAGCAGATATAAGATGGTAGTTTATCCAACATGGCTTTGTAGATGAACATGTACCAGTGACTGAGCCTCCGTACAGTAAGTGATGGCAAAACCGCCTGGTATACAGGGTAGTGATGCGTAAGTGCTTTACAATTTGTCAAAAATCTCAGTGCACTGTGATACGCAGCATCTAACTTGCTCAGGTAATTGGCAGGTGTATTCATATATAACAAATCACCATAATCCAGCACAGGTAAAAAGGTTACAGACTAGCCTTTTCCTGGCCTCAAGTGAGAAGCAGGACTTATTTCTGTAAAAGAAACCTAGCCTAACCCTCAGCTTTTTAAGCAGGTTATTTACATGAAATTTAAAAGTGAGAGTCATCAAGCCAGATACCAAGGTATTTAAAACCTGGGTACTTTAAAACAAACAAATCATTTCTGAGGAAATGTGCAGCAAGGCCATTCTGTCATATAGAGGTTAGATATCGTAATGCCTCTAAAAATGAATGCATGTGAATTATGAAGCCAGAGATGTGACTACTTTTCATTTAATAATTCCTGATCAACTCTAAAACTGTAACTCAAAACAATGAGGATCGCACACGTTCTTTTTTTATTTACCTATAAAAACACATAAGAAACAAATATAGCCTAAGTGCTCAGCTTTTAAAAATAACAATGTAGACTGTATAAATCCTAATGGTACAAAGGACCTATGAAAAATCATTAGAAAAGTAAATGACTTAGATGTTCCCATATTTAACAAGCATGACTAAACAGTGAATGGCTTTTGTAATTACATGTCATATTTTTTCTTGATTGAAGAAACATTATTATAACTAATCTAACACATTATGATGTAGGATTTCCTACTTTTTATTAATTTGCTCATTTTTAATGAAATTTAGATTGATTTAACATTCATCACGTAATAATAAAAACAATAATGTAATTGCAAATTATTTATTATTATTTGATTAAGGCTACCGTGTTTTTTTTAATCAGTCTCTGACGTAACTTTTACTTTATTTCTTTATGAGTCGACGATACATTTTCTAGTGGCTCCTCTTATGAGAGCCTCGGTGCCGCGCAGTCACCAGGGGGCATGCTCATAGTAATAATACAAATAATAATAATGATGATAAATGCATTGAGGAAAGCCTTCTACACAAGCCTCCGTCGTTTCCAGCCCCCGGCCGTGTTGTGATGGAGTAGTGCGTTTAGGTTCATGTGTCCGACCGGCGGCTCTGCCCCTGGCTTTTTTTCTGGGGGACATCATATTGGATCATATTGTTTGCAGGACGTTGTTCCTCCTGCAGCCCCCCCAGTCTATCCCGACGTAGTTGTGAATTGAACATGGCGACTGTAGCAGTATATTGCATCTGCAGATTACCTTACGACGTGACCCAGTTTATGATCGAGTGCGATGCTTGCAAGGACTGGTTCCACGGCAGGTAAGCCCACATTGCTCACGTTGTGTTTTTGTGGCGGGTTGCATTTGCTGGAAACAAACAAAAATGGCGAGCTCTCGGCGCGTTTGACAGCTTTGTGGCTCTCGCTCGGCCGTGTACATCTGAAGAGAGGCCGCTGGAGAAGAAGGGGAAGGCGGAGTTAAATATAGACAGACCGGGCTGTGACATTTTTTCGCAAATTAGATTCCCTTATTAAAAGTTCCGTTGGGTTATAAAGCTCTGTCGCTGTGTGCTTTGTCTATTATCTGCACTTTGTGTGTATTTGACATCCCGCATAGCCTACACGAACCCTCCCCGGGTTAGAGAGCGGGCGGGCGGCAGAGGCAGCGAGGGGAGCCTCGGCACACTCGCTGCTCATTTGTCCCCCATTCCCCCTCTTAATAGCCGCTTTCATGCCGATACTTTGCTTTTATTTTGTGTAACCGTTGTTCTGTGCGAGCTTTCACCGAGGAATTATATAGAACACGGATGGAAATCACGACCCGAGTCTGAACCGAGCCTCTGCTGCCTTCCTGCCAGGCGGCAGAAGCTATGGCTGACAATAGCCCGGACTGGAGCCCTGAGCTCCAGCGGGAACAGACAGGCTCAGTTATTATCGTCCAGTAAGCAGTATTGACACAGTTACGCTATTTCGAGCTGCAAATAATGACTGTTTTGTTTTACTGTGATGAAACGGGCTCATCACTTTCCCCTCCGTAACGTGAAATACAGTAGCCCGCGCTGAAGCCTGTGTCAGCGGGCTGTAATGATGCGTGTATTGCCGGGCTTTATGCCCTGCTGCCGCTGTATGTTTGTTGCCTTTAGCTAGTGTTTTTGGGGAGACATCAGGTGTTAATCGTGCTTCGTTAGGTGAACAATCCCCTTCAGATCAGAGGACAGTATTTACGCGCCTGAATGTTAACCCTTTAATGCTCCCCCTGGCTGCTTGGCTGTACTGTATTGCTTTATCACATTAAGAAGTGCGGAGTTAAAAGCTGGGAATGAGCCATGACCTCCACTCATGCATCAGCAAAGCCAAACAAGCAGTATGATAAAGAAGACCCTTCTACAAATGTTCCCACACTAGCTTGATGCTGTTATTACAGAAGAGTTCAAGTCTGAGAGGTTTACAACACATGATCAATAGGAAGCAAAAAGAAAGTGTGTTAAAAATATATTTCCCTTACATCCCTGCTTAGAATACAAAATATAAAAAATCATTCAGCAGCATCAAACTAAATGAGGTTATTTAACTTAAAATACCTATAACTATAATAGCTGTACGTTTAAAATGAAGACAAACAAAGTTATCCTTACTGCACTAACATATTGTTCTTAAAGGAACTGAATGTGTGGATCTCAGTTCAGTCGCTGAATGTTATTGTATCATTCCTTTTTAGCGTGGTTCATGTTCAGCACAGGTCATGTGATGTAATACAGAGACAAAGTGTCACCGATGACATCAACAAACCCAGAAGCATTGAACCATAATGAACCCTGGGGGGGGGGTCTCATCTACCTAAATACTCCACATACAACAAATGTGGCAAAGAGTAGCACTTTGTTGGACGATGCTTTTTGATGTTTGACACATGCATGTCACAAGAGGAGGTGACATGCTAGGGTTGTCATCGTATCAGAAATGTAGTGGTCAGTACCAGTTTCACGATTATCCATACCAATTTGAGCATGCTAAAACAAACACACACACACACATATTCCAATGTACTTTGATACACTCCTCTATACCAGTTTGCATTCTGTTTTTTTGTCTGTTAAGAAGTTAAAGATGCTTCAAACAACAGCTTTATTTATGTTTCTTCCAGATTACATTTTGATCATATCACAAATAGTTTACCTTCACCAAATGCTACATTTTAGTATGCCACGTTTTCAGCATTTTGGCATTGAGGAGCGATTGCAATAAGGTTGTTATATCTTCTATTTTGGATGAGGAAATACGTAATATGCATTAGTCGCCTTTTGTGTTTGAACATTTACAGTCAAAACTTGTGTTACTGCATTAGATTTTTCGGTAACCGAAATATGGTTCAAAGTAAGGTTCTGCTTATCAGTTTCTAAATAGGCACTTTCTCTGGACTGGGTGGCACTCATACGTACATTTTGCTTATGTTTTTCTCAACATTATGGAAAGATTAATAAGAGTTGCGTGCACCAGGGGCTTAAGGTTTTTATCTGAACCCGTCTTTCATTTTGATTTGTGTGCGATGTGTTCTGGGTTAAATAGTTAAACTAAACTAAATAAGAAGGAGGCAGTACTGTGTCTCTTCTACTTTACATCTTTTAAGAATATGAACAAAATCATCCACCTTGTATTTTTTGTGTGTGTGACAGTCTGCTCTCCACTCTGTCAGCTTCTTTACAATAAATATGAATACAAACTTAGATTTAATAGATATTATAAAACGATTACATTTCATATGCTTAATAATAATATCATACCAAAATGAATCACAAAATCTGAAAATAAATTTAAAAAAAAATCTAGATTAGATCTAAGCGATCCGATCTCGCAACAGGGGAAGCAAACACAGACATCACAACACAGAGCTTTTACGGGTGATCGTCTCATCGTAGCTGTCAATCTGATCAAAAGATGTGTTCAATGGCATTACAACGAGAAAGAAAAAACGCGGCTGAATCGGTTGATCCATAGGTTGATAATGTATCTGTGGCTTTGAAGCAATTGTTTATAATCCATAATTCCATTTTTATGTAAAAATCGGAGCACAACAGTTAGCTGCTAATGGTAGCCACCAGAGTGTATGCAGCTTCCGGTTTTGGCTACGCGTCACTCTCACTCCTTATTTGGTAATGTGTGTGTGTTAGACTGCGCTGGACGCCGCATAGCCAAGACCGGAAGCAGCAGCCACTCTGGTGGCTACCATTAGCAGCTAACTTTTGCTCTGCGATTTTTACATACAAATTGAATTATGGATTATAAATGAAATACTTTTTTTATACAGAGATGTTAAAAACCTATGGATTAACCGATTCAGCCGCGTTTTTTCTAGTTTTAATGCCATTGAACACGTCTTTTGATCATATTGACAGCTACGGTGATACATCTCCCCTAGAAGCTACGTAAAGGTACGTGTTGTGATGTCTGTGTTTGCTTCCCCTGTCCGAGTTCGGATCACTCAGTGATGATACTATATACCTAAATAATCTCGGATATCTTGTATGTGCAGCTACGATAAGTAATAAGGGTACTTTTATCTTGAGTTCTGTGCCAAAGTGTGTTAGCATTTTTCGCTCAGGGGTCATTTAGATGCTTCTTATGAGACTTGTGTTTTGTTTTGGTAAAAATGGTTTGTATCGTCAGTTAGCTGAGATTATTTCCATTAATCTGGTATAACACATTAATAGGTTCTTAAATATTAAGATCCCCTGAGACACATTGTCTTGAAAAAAAAAGTAAAGTACCCGCCGGGACTTTGGGACAGGTTAAAAAAACCGCAATATATACCACAGGGGGGAAAAAATTGCGATGTCAGTTTTTTTCAATATCGTGCAGCCCTAACACACACACACACACACACACACACACACACACACACACACACACACACACACACACACACACACACACACACACACACACACACACACACACACACACACACACACACACACACACACACACACACACACACACACACACACACACACACACTTCAGGTTGAATTGAGGCGAATATTTGTAATGATCAGAGGTTGTGATGTTTAATATTCATGAGTATATTTGTCATTGATCACAACCATTTGCATAAAGCATATTTGTCCACTCATATGTTGATAAGAGTATTAAAAACTTGAAAAATATCCCTCTAAGGAACATTTAGAGCAGATAAAAAATGTGCGATTAATTTGCGATTAACTATGGACAATCATGCGATTAAATATTTTTAATCGACTGACAGCCCTAGTAATTATACAATTAAACTCTCTAAGATTAAATTGATGACTAGAAAAAACCCTAATAGTATGTCTTACTGTGTTGTTTCTGTGTGACAGTCGGCGCCCTGATTCATCAAAAATAAAAAGATTGTACTAGGACAGTGATTGGTAAACTAGTTGGGGAACTTCTTAAAATAGCCTATATTCTCCATTTGCACAGAACTAATTGGATATCAGTGTTTCCCCTAGGATGGAGTCATAGCAGCGGTGCTAAAGCACCAGCAAAATGTGAGCGCGGACCGCGTGGAATTTTTGACGAGTGCGTGTGCGAAGTGCGCCCCACCAATATGTTTCTATGTGTCTGCCAGCACAAGAAAGGCCTAGTACATACAGTGGCAATGTCTCAAGTCATTGCCACTGTATGTACTAGGCCTCAAAAGGTGTATTTTGCTAAATCTTGAAGATTTAGCAAAATACACCTTTAATGAACATACAGTAACACAAATACTACAAATCCACATAACAAACAATCAAAATAAAATGAATGCAATTTAATTATTTTAACCTGCTTTATTTGGGGGTGGACCTCACATCCTCTAGGGGACATGTTCCCCCAGGAAGATTTTGTTTAAGTTAAATGCATCAATCTGGTGCACTTTGAGCATAAAATGAATTCATGGATACAGCTCTCAACACTCAGATGAAAGAGAGCTGTATACTTTTCAATAATCCAAACATCTTTAGAATATAATCACAACCAATAACAAATCATTGAAACTTGTTTATTCTCATCTTATGTTACCTAGTTAGTATTCTTTCTTTTTATTTATGCATATTTTACTAATTACTCCCCTTTTAAACTTTTTTTTTTACTGTCCTATAGTACACATTGGAATGATTTCTTACTTTATTTTTCACAACTATATTAAATAGATAAAGGTTTGCTCTCTCTAGCTCTCTGTCTCGCTCACTCTCTCTCTCTCACCACAGAGGCTGTGTGCTCCTCCGTGGCGATGACGGCTTGCATTTAAAATAATAACATATTTGTAAAGTGGGGGGACACTAGTGCTGGGGGGAAACGAT